GATTATGTAAATAAACAATAGACGGTCATATAACCGCAGTATAGTATCACAATTATATGATAAAAATTTGTTAAATCGCATTTATAAAGATGTTCAGAAACTTTTGTCCACCCCTCTGTATATATAATACTATTTGTATTCTTTTTAAAATAATAATATTACCAGCTTTACTAAAAAGTCTTTTACTTAAAGTAAAGATAGCAAGAATAGCTTAATACTTCTTAATAATTTTTATCATGTTAAAAAACAGTTATCATTATGAATCTTAGATAAAACTAAATAACTAGATACTTCATCACTATGAATAATTTTATTCTAAACTTTCTTGCTAATAATAAATTTGATAAAATTAAAACTGGCTGTAATTAATTATCTTGATTTTCATCTATTAAACTTTTATATCTTGATTAGTTTCTCTTAATTGCTTTTAAGTTTTAATGTGTAATAAATTAGATGCAAATCTAAGTTTTTTAAACTGTATATTTAATAAAGTAGCTAATATCCCTTATTTCTATAAAACTTTCTAATAATGATTCATTAATTAGTATAATGCTATTTTAACTTATTTTTCAAGGTTAATGCAAATTTATGATATATTAATATTAATTTTTCTATGTTTAGGTTATTCAGAAATAAATTCATCATATGATACATCTTTATATCTAATATTATCATTAAAGGTTGTATTTGAATTGCTTAAATCTATAGCTTTAACATTAAAATCATAATTTAGTAAAATCTTTTGATTAATCATTGCTAATATACTATACACTAAACTAATAGTATTATATTTACTTCTGCTTAAATATTCTAATTTAAACCATTTATCTTCTGTTAAATTAATATTTTTCAATTGTTTTCCATCATGTTAAATTAAAGGATCAGGATAAATTAACATAATAGATATTAGAATATTAATAAAATATTTTAATTTTTATTAAATATTTCTATGTAAAACAGCTAGAATTTTATCTTGTCTTAATATTAGCAATTATTCAAAGGTATCTATCATTATTTCCTAAATTTTATAATAAAATATATATAAATATTAAATTAATATATTCTTTAAATTTATTTATAATTTTTAAAAAATTTATTAATTAATATTAAATAAATAAAGTACTTTTTAATATAATAGAATAATTATTAAGTTAATAAAGATTTATTAATTTCTTCATTATTAATTAAATAATTGGTATTTTTTTAAATTTTCAGTAATTTTTTTATTTGTTTAAGTAATGTAAAAAAAATTTATTAATCTTTTACTCACACATTTAATACTTTAACTGGTATTAATCCTTTTCTATAACAAGCTATAATATATATATTATATAAGAAAGTCTTATAAACTCATTCATTAAATTTACTAGTTTTACCATATTATGACTATTATTTGTTATCATTGTATAGACTTTACTAATTAAATTCTAATTTATATTATCTTTAATTAGAATTCTAATAAATTTTTTATCCCAATTATTTTAAATAACTTTATCTATATGAAGTTATAATAATTCTTTGTTTTTATATCTAATTCATCCTTTTTTTATGATTTTCCTCAGTAATTCTATATATAGCAAAATAAATAATCAAATTACTAGTAGAATTATCAGAATCTATAAAATAATTACATAGTTCTACACCATTCTTCTATTATACTTGAACTAAATACTTTACAATCTCTTTGTTTTTTTCAGTTAGTTCATATTGATCAAAATAATTATATATCAACTTTATCCTAATGGTTTAACATTTGAAATTAAAATTAGTTGGTCAATTATTTTATTTAAATCAATTTTTGATGAAAATATTCAGATTTCATATTTATGAATCAAAATATTAAATATTATTATTTTTATAAATAGATTTAAACAAAATTGTATATATTAGCATAATTCCTTATAAAATTAATTTTATGGAATTAATTAAATTAATTATTATATTAATCTGGTTATTGCAAATTATTAATATTCTAAAATTAATATATTATAATTTAAACAAAAACTATAAAATTTATACTATTAGTTATTATATTAAATCTAATAATTAAACTCAAACTATGATACTTTAATTGAATAGATGATATCTGATAGTTTTTAACACAATATATAATATTTTATATTTTGTTTATTTATTATAAATAATAATATTATTATTGAATAGAGCTATATTAATCTTCAACTAATATTTTAATACTATATTTAATAAATTATAATTTATCAATAAGACTAAATCAATTCAATATAGTTATAAATTAAAATTGATAAGAATAAATATATAGAACTTATTCTTTATATATAAATGTAGATCAATTATCTAGTAGCAAAATTAATTTCTTATAAAATTAGAATACCTTAAAATATATAATATTAACTTGTATTATATTCAAATAAAAATTATAATATGAAGTACACTAATATATATATTAATAAGTCTATATAATTAAAATATATTTATTGTTTGCTTTCTCAATTTTTACCTAAAGTAATAATTAAGATACAATTATAATAATATTGTAAAATTGATAATAGTAAATATAATAAGTGAATAATTCGTATAAAATTTATGCAAAAAATATATAGTTTATTGAATTTTCGTAACACATTTAGGTTTCAAAGTAATAAAAATATATTCAACATTTATTGAAGAATTTAATTATAAAAAGATAAAACCACCTTTTATGTATACATATTTTATTTTAACAAGCTTTATATAAGAGAGATTAAAGCTGTTAATACATACGATGCTCGCTTAAACTTATTTAAAATGCAGAAACTAAATCATTAAATAAATAAATAAATAAATAAAATTGTTCTAATCTTCTTCATAACATGTTAATACAGTTAAATTATTAAAATTAATTTAATAAGCTAGTAATTTATACAATCAAATTTAAATAGGCCAAACTTTACCATTTCAAAATCGCCAACTTGTAAATCAGGATCAGAATTATTAGCATTTTCTGTAATTTTGTCTTATATTAAATTGAAAAAATTAATAAAAATAAAATAAATTATAAAAAAAAAGTTTAATTCAAGTATTTACTTTTGGTTGTTTCATCGTCAATCTTTTTTCCAAAGCCCATCTTCAAAAACATTTCAACACTTTTTTAATAATTGGTCTTTGCTTAGGTTCCTGTTTCCAACATCTTTTATAAAGTTTTTCATAATCCTCAGGTGTTTCAGCTATAGTAGTTTCGCGAGTTTCATGACAAGTAATAGCAACAATAAGGTCTTGATTATTATTAACCTCATCTTTGAATGGAGGATTTCCGCTAGAAATTTCCCACATCAATACGCCAAAAATATAAATATCTGAAGGCTTTATATATTGAAAATTTTGATCGGCAAGTATTTGTGGTTCCATATAGGCGACTTTGCCAAAAAGTCTGATATTAATTGTGGAATTATTTTCAACTTTTGAAATACCAAAACTTGTAATTTAGGCATTATTTTCATGAATCACAATATTCTTAGAATACTAAATTAAAGTAAATAATGTATAATTTTACATAATATTTACCAAATAAAGTAATTAAATGTAATATTTACAAAATCTCTGTGTAAAACATCCTCATTATACAAATAATTTAATCCATCTGCAATTTGAAAAGATAATCTCTTTTTATCATTCCAAGTTAACTTTTCAAAATTATTCTCAAGATAACTTTGAAGATTACCGCAAAATAAAGTTCATTTGAGTTTTGATCTATAAAACAATTTTTAAATTAAAAATTCCTTAAAAACAAATAATTAAACTTATTAAATTACCTTGACTAATACCCAAGAAACATATAATGCGATTACTATAATTTAGATGTAAATGTATTTTTAACTCATAAATAAATGCGCTTAATTTATCATCATCACATTTAAATATATTAGTTAATTTTTTACAGACAACATAATTATTTGTCTTTGACCAGATTGCTTTTAAGATAATTCTGAAGCCGCCTTCATCAAGTGGTTTTAAATCAATTAACTCATCATAATGTATAACTTTAACTTTATTATTTAACTTGTTATTGATCAATTTAAACATATTACTATTAACTTCATTTTATAAAATATAAATAAATTAGTATAAATCATAAACTTATAAAAATTTAATTTAAACATAAATAGTTGCATTATTATGATCTTTAAATGGAGGATATCTACTAGAAATTTCTCACATTAATACACTATAACTATAAATATCTAAAGGCTTTATATACTGAAAATTGTAATTGCAAAGAATTTATGGCTCAATATAAGCAGTTTTACTGCAAAGTCCAATATGTGCAGTAGAATTATTTCCAATTTTTGAAATATCAAAATCAGTAATTTTAGCATTATTGTTGTAAATAAGTATATTCTTAGAATGCTATATTAGATTATATAATTTAAAATTTATTTTTGAAATTTATTTAAAAATAGATAAATATAACAAAAAAAATCTTACAAGATCTCTATACAAAACTTCTTTAGTATGCAAGTAATTTTATCCATTTGCAATTTAAATTGCTAATTTTTTCTTATTGTACTAAGTTAAATTATTAAAATTATTTTTAAGATAATTTGAAAATTGCTACTATTAGCATATTGCATTAAAAGAAGATACTCATATCTGCAATAGTAAATTACTAAGCAATTATTTTGAAAAATAAATAAATTTAATTAATAATTACCTTGACTAATACCTAAGTAATATATAATTTGATTACAATAATTAAGATTAAATGAATTTTTAATTTATAAATAATAGCATCTTGCTCAGTATTTGTATTTATTAATCTTTTAATTATAATAAAATTACCAGTATTCAACCAAGTTGCTTTTATAATATTTCCAAAACCCCCTTTAAGAATTTGTTCTAAATCAGTGAATTCATTAAGCATATAAATTTAACTTAATATTCAAAATATTAATCAAAATAATAGTGCAATTGAATTTATTGATAAAACTTTAAAAATTTAACTTCATATTTTCCAAAACTCCTTTCAGTTTTATTTTCATTTTTTACTAATCTTTGATGCATTCATATATTTTTTTTAAATCTTCTTTAATTTCTATTCCATTTATATAACATTTAATCATGTTATATTAAGCATTTTTATTTTATTTTCTGCTAATTTTTGATACCATTAAAATGCTATTTTTAAATCTTCTTTAATTTCAATACCTTTTTCATAGAAATTTCCTAATTTATATTATACAATATCACCAGTAAAATGCTTTTTTTAAGCTTTTTTCTACATTTATACCTTTTTCATAAATAATCCTAGCTTATTTTGTGCATCACTATATTCTTGTTTTGCTAAATTTTCATATAATTCGAATGATTTAATTTTATCCTTTTTAATTTTCCATCCATATTGATAAATTTCAGCTAAATAATATTGAGCAAATTTATTATTATTTACAGATTTTTGAAACCAATAAAATGCCTTTTCTAAATTTACATCTGTTCCTTTGCCATTATAATATAAATTACCAAATTCGTGTTGAGTGCAAATATCTCCATTTTCTATCGCTTTTTGAATCTAATAAAATGCTAAATCATTATTGATTTTAATTCCAAATCCTTCAATATAACATCTACTTAAGTAGACTTGTGCAATAGGATATTTATCAGCTGTTTTTAGGAAGTATGTAATCCTTCATGAATATTTTCATCTAGGTTGAGCATATTGTAATAAGAAAATATTACAAGGAAGAAAACATGTTTTAATTCATTTTGATTTTCTTTAAGCCAGTTGAAAAAATCTTCAGTTGATCGAGCAGATAGAGTAATGCATTTATTACGAAAATTTTTTGTTTCACTGAAATTTTTACCTTCATTTGTATTTAATGAATAATTTATCAACTAAAATGTTTATATTATCCGTTGAATTAATCTTTTCTGATTTGTATAGACATTCGTCATGTTTTGTTTCAGTTTTTGTCATGCTTTCATTATAAATGTAAAAAATATGTTTTATTATATACTCTCTCTCTGGTTTACTTTAAAAAATTTAGGAGCAAATAACTTTTATATCGAAAATCCGGATGCAAAACTGGAGTTTCGGAAACATTTCTCCGTACGATGTGACATAATTTCAAAAGTAATGTTTTTGTGCTAAGTACATCACATGGTAATCAGTTCTTTATAGGAATAATTGTGGCGCTATTGTTAGATCAAACAGCAGAAAATCAAGACATTTTTGGTGATGATTTCCAAGGAATTCCCACGGCTTAAAATCTTTTAATTGATAAAATATTTTAAATAAAAAAGAATAAAAATAAAATGCATAAAACTTTGACAAGAGGTCAAATCGTAAAACTTATTATAAATTTAGTTATTTTTTTTTTATTTCTTTATAGATGCGTTAATAAATTCTTATGAACAAATGAACAAAATTAAAGAATGTTTTCGAAATTACTCCAAATATGACAAACGAAAGAACTATTCGATTGGTGCATTTTAATTCGCAAAAATGAAAATTACTGCAGTCACGTACTGCGGAAATCAGAAATTATAACTCTGCAAATATGTAATGAATATGTGTAATATGTATAGCGATTCATAATACCAAAAATATAAGTTTCATGGACTCAGATTGATAATTTCAAGCTGCAGTTATTGAAACTATCTTTTTTTACAGCTTTAGAACATTTTTGAAAGTATTGTACTTTTTTTAGCTTTCAAATTCTGGGTTTGTTCGCTTTGGGCTGCAGCAATCGAATGTTTTTTTATATATTCATTATTATTTACATTTATTTATATCATACTAATTAAACAAAAAGGCAAAGGTACTGTTTAAACAAATATAACAGCCATAAAATAATAAAAATATTCCGTATTTTGCTTATCTCTAAAAAAAAATTTACTTGTTAAATTATCTTTATATGCTGTTCATTAAGTAATAGTATTGCTGTGATGGTGATTAATCATTGAATTATACAGTCTAACCGTACAAGTTACTTTATTATTTTGAACTTTTGGAGAGGTTGTAATGGTAACAAATAAATTTCTAGAATTAAATGACCAAATATATTTTACTTTAAGTTAAAGAGTTTGTTGCATGAAAAAATAATTGCAATTATTTAAATAAATATTAGTATTAATAAGCATCAAATTTCTGTTATAAAAATCTATAACTCAAATAATTAATATTAGTATTCAATATACTTGACATATGATAAAAACTTAGGCCACGCAAAATTAGCATTTCGGTTCACGTTGCATTAAAATTTTAAAATTGCCCGTGACCCAAAAAAATTTTATATGTAAATCGTAACGATATGATTGGTTGACTTTAAGAAGTAATTAATTATCGGTGAACATTTTCCGTATTGTAGACACTGTAGTATCAGTTGGAAGTAAAAAGAGAAGTAACAAAGAAAAGAAATATAAAAATTAAGTAAACAAAGAAATGAATATAACCAATTTGATTGTAAGTCAATAAAGTGTTAATACAATAAATATTCGTATTGCTACATTGGATATAATTACACCCGAAGAATCATAATTTTCGCTATAAATCGCCTTCGACTTTTGAAGATCAATTACGACCATATTGTTAGGTTACCATATTGTTAGGATACCATATCGTTAGGATACCATATTCAAGTTGTACTTATTTTGTGTAACATATAGTTGTGACAGTTAGCATTTTCTCATAAAACAATTTCTTCTCAGAATACTTAGTAAAATGAAGAACGGCCGGGATGTGACACGATGTGATATTTCCTAAACTCTTAGCTTATCCTAATTCTACCCTTTTTTATCATTAAATAGTGATCTTATTATGAGCTTCTAAATTTCTTTATGAAACACAATTGGCATGAGCTTAAATCGTATTAATTCCTTCATTAACTAAAAAAAAAAAATATTGCAAAAGCCAATCAGCATCGTCTCAATTATTGAGCTGGCGGACATCCGGACATTTGTAGAAGTATATAGTCCTACGCTGCACTTCGGACTAATTAACACGGTCATTTCTAAACATCTTCATAACACAATTTACTGAAAATTTTAATTTTGATTTGTGCTTTCTGTGTCAAAAAGAAAAAAAAGAAATTTATAATATATGCAAAAAACGTTTTAGCGTTTCGGTTCCCTTTTTAGAATAAATGCTTGGTAATTAAGTTTCTGCAGCATCACATTATACTTTATTTAACTTAAGATTAGTTCCTCTTTTTTATCACCATATGTTTTGCATCGTCTCTAATGGTTGATCAAATGCCTAATTTACTACTAAATAAAAATTCGAATTATTTTTAAAAATTGGAAAGGTTCTTTTATAATAAATTAAATGTCCAAATTTGTTAAGTAGTATAATCGTTGAAACAAAATTTAAGTAATAAGCCGAGTCCAGCCATCTTTAAATTAATTTGTTGATCTAAATTTATTTCAACCTACAAAGAACTACCCAATATCGCCAATTTTTCACCCACGTGATTTTTGACCGGCATTACTGAACTTG